CTGGAGCAGGTTTGCTGGCAGGACTTGTGACCCTGTGGGGGACCCATGCTGGAGCAGTTCATGAAGAACTGCAGCCCGTGGGAAGGACGCACGTTGGAGAAGTTCATGGAGGACTGTCTCCTGTGGGAGGGACCCCACGCTGGAGCAGGGGAAGAGTGTGAGGAGTCCTCCCCCTGAGGAGGAAGAAGCGGCAGAGACAACACGTGATGAACTGACCGCAACCCCCTTTCCCTGTCCACCTGCGCCGCTGGAGGGAGGAGGGAGAGAAAACTGGGAGTGAAGTTGAGCCCGGGAAGAAGGAAGGGGTGGGGAGAAGGTGTTTTAAGATTTAGTTTTGATTTCTCATTACCCTACTCTGACTTGATTTGCAAGAACTCAGACAAGTCGAGTCTGTTTTGCCTGTGACAGTAACTGGTGAGTGATCTCCCTGTCCTTACCTCAACCCACAAACCTTTCGTTATATTTTCTTTCCCTTGTCCAGCTGAGGAGGGGGAGTGATTGAGCAGCTTTGGTGGGCACCTGGCACCCAGCCAGGGTCAACCTACCACAGATCTCTACCAAGGTTTGCTGTAATGCAAAAATTTCCTTCCAAGCCTTAAATGCACATGTTTTGTCACACCATGTGATTCTGAGAATACAGCTCTTCTCTTCCGTGCATATGGAAAAGATGCTGAATGCAAAATGCTTCAAACATGCAGAAAATTATTCACACTGTGGAAAAATGAGCTGCTTGACTCCTCCCTCCCTCTAAACTGTGTTTGGGACTCCCTTCCAAAGCTGGGACATTTCTTAACACGAGCTCTTTCACACTGCTCCGAGATCACGAACAAGGAGTGATGACAAGGCTGCAGACAAGACTAAAGACAGACAGAAGAAAAAGGATTAGCTTTAGGTTAGAGATGTGAAACACCTGATGGCTGAGGAGGAAAAAGAAAAGCTAACATTGTACTTAGTAAACAGATTAGTATAAAAATAAAGAAGCATAAAACATACTGAGAAATACTGTTCAGCTTCAAGTTGGTCTTGAAGCTCTTTCATTTGTCCATCTGCATCTTGACGTTCCCTAGAAAGGAATAACATACTTTAAAAGAAAAGATACGAAGATATTCCAAACCAGTAAGTAGAAAAGACAGCATTCACACTCTTAAGATCTTCAGTCATTTCCTGACCAAACAATGGTCAGCAATTAAACCTGAGGCTTCCTCTGGGTACCAGATCTCTTTCACCTGTACAGCTGAGAAAACTGCACTAATAAGAAGTCAGTTTAATACTGTTAACACACTAACTACAAGAGTGTCACATAGTTTAACTAGTAAGAGACAAAGTAAGTGATAAAGGAAAGGGCCAGCGACAGAATCTTATTTCCATGTAAAATGTCCCTGATCTGACAGATCGTTTTGGGTCTCTCGTTTGCTAGAACTCAGTCTGTGAAAACATGTCTGTGTTCTTTGACACGCGTAATTTCTTGAATTCATCTGTTATTAAAACAACTCAGAAAGTCAATTAGTCAGTCCATAACAAAGAACACTAATGTAGCAGAAAAGATTTCTGCCAGTGTTTCACATTAGAGCAATCGTCACATGTAGCCAGTTTTTCTATTTTGCTGACAGAAAAGATAAAGCACAAGGAGATAAACCATCAGAAGTCATAAAGGAGCTAAGAATGAGATTCATCTGATATATGTGCTAGACTTGTCTTTTCATTCACAGGAATGTCCTTTATGTAAAAAAAAAAAAGTATTTATTTATTATCAGGTGCAAATATTGCCTGTAAGACCTTGAAGAACTGCTGGAATTTAACACAACTCCTATTTGAAGGCCAAGAGATGTGTTTAAACATCTTTAGTACTAGATATTTCCAATGGTTACGCTTCACAGCTCTGTACCAGTATTCACTTCCAACTCTAATAAGCTCTCCTGGACTAATAATGCCAATAACTTTCTTCTTCACTGAAGTCCTATGTAATTTTAAAAAAAAAATACCTACACTTTCTATTAAATAAGTGTTTCTCTGAAGTCCTCACACTCTTCAAAACCCTCAAAAGCTGGGTTTTTTTTAAGATTTTCAGGATAACAAACATCTTTTATTACAAATCTATACACTGCTGAATCACTAGGGCAAATCTCAACTAGAGTCACTGAAATTATTTTAAACAACAATTAAGTTTTGCACTGTAGAATAGCTCTCAGCTTTTGTCAAAAAATAATTACAAATCAGTAACATTATTAAAAAATATAGAGCAACTCTGCGTACTTGCGGAGTTCGTTATTTTGTTTTTCCAGACTTAATTTGATCTCCTGAAGATGGTTATTCTCCTGTTTTAACTGCTTCTCTGACATTTTCAAGGTGTTGACCTGTTGCGTTTGCATCTTGAGGTCATTCTGAGTGAGACAGCGCTTTTGTGTTTCTTGCTCTATTTTTAATGTCAGGTTTTTTACCTGAAAAAAATAAAAAGAAACCTGTGAATTTTATGGATCTACACAAGAAAGCAACATTTAAACAGTGTCTCTTTTTGACTTCCTCTATGCTTTTGTACAACATGCTCGTATCTTTTGATAAGTCCAAGCTGTTTCCTGAATAAAGGCATTAGCACACAATAAATAAGCTAGTTTTTCCATGTCAATCTCACAGCATTTTACATTCCAGAAGGAAAACTTTGAAGATGAATAATGCTGAAATATTTCAGAAAAATGAAACCACACTCTGTAAAGTAGACTTTTTAAAGCTCCAAATACAGAAAAGGAAAAAGTTGCTGCCATTTTCATTCACAAACGTTCCTAAATATAGCTATAACAAGGAAAATATTACGACATTGAAGACCAGGTTCCACTCAAGACTCCTTTTGTCATTGTTCCTTACATCTTCATTTAGTATATCCTTTTGCCTAAGGAGCTCATTGATTTTCTGTTGTGATTGTTTGAGATCACAGTCCAACATGGAGCGCTGCTTTTCAGCTTCTAACAACCGATTTTCTACTTTTTGCTTTAAAGCTCTCTCTTCCAAAAGCTTCTTCTCCATTTCTGTGAAGCAAGAGATTTAAGACGTCAGTCAGCGTAAACCAGGGGATTTTGAAGGGCGAGGGGACGTGGAGGTCTATCCCATATTAACAATAAGCAACACGTTTAACCTTTTAACACTGAAGAGAAAGACTGCTGAAGAATGATTCATTAAAATTTGCACAGTAAATCCACTCCCAGAGGATGCTTTTGCAAGCATTACTGACCGATTGCTATTTCCTACTTCTGAGTTTCAAGATAACTTCCAGTTTATCTGCAACACAGCTGAGATGGATAAAAGGGTGGATCTTTAAAAATAATTCATCTAAATCTACTGAAGTATTGCTTTGACTATGATAATTTGGAATCATTTAAAGAGTTGAAGCTGTTTGGGAACCTGATATGCCAAGTGATTCAGCCATTATTACTGAATCATTTGTGCTTCTTTTGAACACCTGGAAGGACAGGATCTGCAGGTAGCTTTTTAAGTAGCTACAATAAACATAAGACATTTAATTCAGAAGTAAGAGCCATCTTCTAGAACTGTTTGGTAATTATCTCCAAGAGATTTCAATTGTCATAAGATGCACCAGAATATGCACGGTGACTATGGAAGCCTAGCAAAGGCTTTGCTATTTCTATCTAGCCTACATATTTAAATTGTTAAGTTGCTGACATGTATTTTATTGAGGAAGACACAAAAAGGTATGAATACACTGAGTAAGAACATAGATAAGCTCTTAACAAAAATGTTTCAAGCAGTTTTAGTAATGTAAGTTTAAGACAAATTAATTCAGAATACACTAGCACAGAAAATGAATTAGTGGTGTGTGCAATGAAGAACCTGTTTTACTCCGAGACTAAAACAGCATGTCTTTAACCTAGCAAAGCAAGGACAAAGAGACTATGACTGATTTTTACGACACAAATTATATTTCAAAAGAACAGGGTAATCAAGGAAAAAAGCCTACACTTAGGCTTCCACTAGCATTAAAAGATTGTATTATCTACTTTGTCTTACACCTAAGTCCAACTGTGATGTCAAATGCATACCTTTCATGGCTTCAGATTTTGCTTCCTCTATAGACTCATAGATCTTATTTTTGTCTGCTAATCGTGCTTTTGTGGCTTTATGTTCAGCTTCTTCTTGTTCAAGGTTCTGCTGCATAACTTTGAATTTATATGTCATATCTATTTCCATGTTGCTCTTTTCCTGTTAAAGAAGAAATTACATTGAAATAAAACATTAAATACATCAGGTTAAAGAAAAAATTTCGGACAACAATAACATGCTGCTTGGAAGTATGCTAAGTGTAGAAGAGAACTCATTTCTACAAATGCTTTTCTATGGATGGCAAAGTGCTCCAAAAGTGCACAACGACATCCCCAGTGGCAAACAATTTTAGAATTACTGCTTTAACAGCCAACATTCTGTAATAAAAGCGGCTCAAAGGTTAAGTTTACTGAAGAATTTTTTCAATACTTTTGTTTCAATGACAAATTTGTCGAAAAAAATATTAACAGAAGCTTTTTTATTTTTGGCAATATTGAGAGTTTAAAAAAAACCAGGTGAAATTAAATGTTATTTCTGCACTGTTAAGCTACACACTGGAATACATGTACTTTAGAAGTATAACGTATTATTATCTTAAGGGAAATGCTGTCTTTTTTTCCCCACTTCTCATATTGCAAAAACAATGGACAAAAAAAACAAATAAAAAGAATAAACACTGAAAACAAGGCTTATTTTTTGCACAGATTTTGTCTCCCTGTCTCAAGTAATAAAAGCGCAAATTTAAAAATTCCATAAGAATGTAACACCAATGTTCACTTAGAAGTGCTGTTACCTTTTCTAAATCTGTAAGTTTTTCCTGCAATTGTCTCTTCTCCATTTCCAGTTTGGCTAATTTACTCTTTCCATTTTTTACTTCTTCTTCCAGGCTAGATATTCGACCTAAAAATGACCAAAACATCAATGAGGCTGGGCAGTGTATGGAAAAATAATGTATTGTATCTACTTAGAGATAAAAATTTTCAGATGTAACGGCTTCTAATTCTGATTATTAAGAACATCTCCCCTCAGGGTGATTTTAAAAGTTATCAATAACGTTTTATAAATGTTATCACATATTTTCTCTTAAATGTGTGTCCATACTTACAGAACATTGTATAGAACAGCACGCTAATCTAGTCACAATTTGGAGCTCAAATAACATAATCAGAATCTATATTTACTTCCAAAATGAGAAGCAGCTTCAGAACACTTGCAGGAATACCTTGTAAATCACTGATAATCTCTGATCCATGACTTCGATCTCTCCTTTCTGATTCTAGAGCTGACTGAAGATTGAGAAAGTCCTTCTCCAGTTTGAGTTTAGCATTCTCTAGCAGGCAGTTCTTATCTTGTAGTTCTCGATTATTAGCTTCCAGCTGCTGGATTTGCTTTGTGCTTTCTGTCTGGTTCTTCCTTAACCTGGCTGCGGTATCAGACTCCGATCGCAGCAAAGAATTGGCTTCATCCAACTAAGGATCGAGCAAAACATACTTCAGAAACAAATAAAATAAAACATCTACCATTTCTACTACAGAATACTAGATTTTATGGATTAAAGAAATAAAAAGGAATGTATTTTAAGATTACTTTTGAACATCAAAACATGACAAGAAAGAACAGCTTTTAAAACTCTATTACACATTTCAACTTCCTCCACTACTAGTAAATCTGTAGTTCAAACAGCTATTATTTTAAAATATACATATATAAGGTTGGCATGCCTGTCTTTGTAGTTGATTGATTTTCTCATTGGATATTTGAGAGTTCTGATTCCTCTTTTTTAAATCTTCAAGCTGGTCTTTCAAACTGTTAACTATAACAAAAAAAATTCAATATTGTTAATCACTGTCATGAAAAAGCTTTAATTTGAGCTGTAATTCATTTATTTTATCTTTTAAAAACCCACATCAAAACAGAACCCTTCAAGCATGGTTCAACATACCCTCATTTTCCAAATTGCGTTTCTTATCTGCTTCATGTTCTGCTTTTCTCTGGTATTCTGTATTCTTATGCTGAAGAAGAGCCTTCTCTCTTTCTAACTGTCTGACTGCAGACTCTACATTCTTTCTTGAAGTTATCTGGATATATTTTTAAAAAAACACCACTAATTACATACAAAAGAATGGTATTCTTTAAATGATAAAAAGACAGCTCGTGCACTCAGTTTAGTTTGTAATGGAGAAAGACACAGTCCATTTGCCTGCCGCAAACACAGCATATCGAAAACGTGGTCAAATCCAGCTCAGGATGACTATGGCCAGGCGCTTTAAAATTTAAAAACTGTTTGATCGTTTGGATTTGATGAATCCAGTAAACCAACCTAGCAGCGACTCAGGAAGCACAGAAACATACATGTAATGTCTCGACATGCACCTGGATGAGCAATACATTAAGTTGTACACATTCACTAGATATGACAAATTTGTAGTAGCACTAAAGTGCAAAGCTGGGCAAGAAAGAGGGTCCTTTTACTGACACTGTTTGAACAGTGCAAAAAATGGGCTTCCTCTTCTAGCAACAATACTCTCACATCTTCAGTTATTAGAACTGTATAGGGATTATTCATATTACTATCCTCCAAATTAAAAACATGGTAAAGAATGGATTCTGGAAACAAATGTGTAGTTGTAGTACGGAAATAACAATGAAAATACTTTCACAGTGACAACAATTTCAGGCTTGTGAATATCAAGAAATCAACTGGTATTACTTGCTATAAATACACAGCTACTCAAAAGTAATTTGCTGTTTCCTAAGGAAAAAAGCCACACACAAATGTTAAAGTTCTGATTCTAATAAGAAATAACTATGGACTTACCTCTTCATCTAGCTCTTTCACTATCTTCTCTAAACGAGTATTAGTAGACCTGAAGAAATTTGAAAAAATATTTTTAAACCCTGCTGATTATATACAAATTAGAATGTTTGGATGTGTCTGATTAATTTTACGTAAGATACTCTTATTTTCAGCAACCACATGAAACTTCAAGGACGGTGGAAATCACTCAAACAACAGAGAAATTCTTGTGGAGCGTTAAGGCAAAAAAACCCAAACCAGCAGTCACAGGAGTAGCAAGAATTAAGCCAGCAATTTACAGTGAGGTCTGCTTGCAGGGTTGGGAATCCCCGAAGTGGATTAAAACACTTTTAAGCATTCAAAAACAAAAGGTGTAATAAAACTTCTTTATAAACATACCAAACATGTCAAAACAGTCTCACCTGTACTTCTGTTCTAGTTCATCTTTGGCTTGTAATTCGTTACTGAGCTGTTCTTCTAGCTTGCCTAGTTTTTTCTGAAACTGTAAAATGTCAAAAAAGCATGGCCCACATGTAAAAATGCTATCACATAGAACAAGTGTAATAAAATTAAAAAAAAAAAAAAAGGGAAAGCGAGGAAAATGAATTCAACCTTCCACTACATTATTTTAAAACCATCACCAGAAGGTTACATCTTTACAAGGTATTAATCCTGATGATTTTAAAGATACAGATCCATAGTAACGAAATTTGCTGCAGGCTGCATTACATCTAACCAGCGGAGAATTACGTGCCACAGATTGAGAGTCATAAAATTTCTACGGGCAAAAAATACTGTTACTGGCCCTTTGCTGTATTCTTTCTCTGTAGACACAGACTTTCCACTGGAGCAGAATTTTTGGGATAGTCTTTCCTAAATAAAATTAAAAAATAAAAAGGGGGCCACATGACCAAATTGGGACAATATTCAGAGAATATTACTATACATGCTCAATGACTTCACATAAAGAATAATTTCTTAGTCTAACACATACAGAAGCTACCAAACACTTTTCAAGTTTGGGAATGCTTTGTTTTGCTTACTAAAATATTAAGAAGAAATTGTGAGTCACGTACCCAAGTATTCATGAAATAAATTACAAATAATAAATTTTGGAATTGTCTCATGTCTTCAGGCTTTCAAATGCACTTATTTTCCTCCCTTCCTCCTCCTCCTCTACCCTCCAAACATAAAATGTAAAAATGTGGTTTACTAGAACACTTTATAATTGTTACAATTAGAAGATTCCCAGAACAGGGACACTGAAAAGGACACCAAGACCGGAGATTCATTGCTTGAGAAAATACAAATGAAAAAAGTTGTCAGAAGTGAAAGGCAAAATTTTATCAACTACGTTTACTATCACAACATAAAGCAAATAAAACGAATGTCACACTATATATTTTAAACAGCATAGCATTTCTTCTTAAAAAGGAAACTCTAAAACTATTAATCTATTCAGCAATGTCTAAAACTATTCATCTATTCAGCAATGACAGGAGGGAATGAAGTGGAGTCTAATAAACATTTGCATTTGAATTTATGCTGGTCAATACATAATGCATTTCCTTTACTTATTTTTTAAACTTTGAACAGGAGTGTCCTGGTTTCGGCTGGGATAGGAGTTGTAAGTTTTAAGAAATGTTAACAATATACTATCTACACCTGAATAATACAAATGTTTAAGTAACATAATGATGTATGTAAGTACATGAAAATTCCATAGCATTCTCCTGTCATGTGCAATCTTCAAAAGCTGGATGAACATGCTCCATACACTCAGTTCAACTGAGAGCATGATTTAAACATTCCTTTATCACTGCAGGTGACAATTTACTTTTCCAAACTCTGAATAAATCAGTCATGAATCACTCAGGCAAGCGTGCAGCTAAAATTCACAACCTTCCCAAGAGTGATGCTGTTTGTGGCAAACAAAGCCTTACACATTTGTTTCCCCAACAAATTCTAGATGCCAAAAGAATTCGAGAAAAATCTGTATTCATTCATCTTTATAGTATAGTACCTTAATGCTTCAGTACAACTGTTCCAAAATACAACTGGTTTACTGTTAACAAGTTCGTGAATAAACATTTAAGATATTTCACATTATGTAGGAATTTTCCTTTCATAATTCAAATAATATACTTGCCTCCTTGCTGTCCTGTAAATAGAAAATATTTTTACTGAGGACCATTAAAAGACAAAAAGCCCCCCCAAAAAATTCCTTAAAAACTTATTTTAGACTTTGTCTTTTCTAACAGACTTAACAAAATTAGTTAATCATACCACTAATACTTAAGAAAAAAGGCACTAACCTCATTTTTACTAGATTGCATGGATTCATTTTCTCTGCAAGACTGAGAGGAGTCACTTAGCAACCTGTCAAAAACAAAAACAAATCCCTCCAGCTCTTATTCAAGTTTTCAACAACTCTGGCAACCTTGCCAATCAACTCATTTTAATCAATTCTCTGAAGTCTTAATTTGTCCTATGCTATTCTCAGAATGAAGCTTGTTTTATTTTAGTGTGAGTGCATCTTTCTGATTTGAATCTTTTCTTAAGTGAAGTATAACATGTTTTCAAATCCATAGCAGCTTATAATTTTTTAATTAATACAATTATTTCTTAACTATTCAAGCCCTAGCAAGCTATTATCTGCTGTAAACTTTTTTCTAAATCTACTAATAAAAAGCAATTTTAGAACTAAATTACAAATCGATCAGTATTTTAACCCTAAAAGATTTTTTTAAGAGACTATATAATTTTGTGCACATAAAAATACTGTGTTGCATCAGAGTTATCAAAATAACTAAAATAGTAGCAAATTATATATTCTACTTAAACTCCGCATTTTGTATCTTCACAATTGGACATATATGAATATAATGCAATGAATAAATTATGTATCTAGAGTGAAAAAAAGGATAGGATATAAGAAAAATCTGTATTTCTAAAAATGCATATTAAAGTATCACATACAAATTGTCTCTATAGTAGGTAAATCCTATAAAAGGCAGCTGGTTTCCCACGAAGGCTTTGGGGATTGGAAAGGTTTCCACGTCTCCCTTGTCGTCCTCAATGTCATCAAAATTACTGCTATCTATATCACTGCTAAGCTCAGGAACAACAGGAGCAGCAGCTATAGAAAGGGGAGAAAAGATCAACTTCACTCCAAGATTCAGCCATTTGCTCTATACTGGTATCTCTGTAATGTTAAAAAGCCTATATTATAAGTTGGCCTGCTAGTTAAATATGTATTAACCATGCAGCAGATCTGTATATATTACTGTGAACATTTTTTTCTAGAGAAAACTATTTTTACATTAGATTGATACATTGCATAGAATATCTAATGCACCAAATGTATTTGCTAAGGTAATCACATTTGAGGAGAGAACTCTAAATACAATCATCATTTTAGGAAACTTTAGTAAATACATGACTTTAGAAGTTACAATCAAGCTCATGATCTGAACTGACACACTTCGGTTTTTTGCCTAAATCTATCAAGTTCACAATGCCTGAAATGAAAAGCAGTAAAACTGACAAGACTGCTGTCGAACTACTGTCTTAACTACAGAAGGTTAAAAAAAACAACCAACCAAACAACAAAAAAACCCCAAACCAAACAAAAAAAGCCACAAAGAAACAGAACCTAACATGCTTTCTTTTTCGTTAGAATTCTAAAACATCCAGTTCTGTTGTTCAAAACAGAAATCTATACATGAAAAGCATGGTAAAGGTGACAATAATTCCAGTAGGAAAAATGTGTATTTACTAACCCTTACTGATAAGAGTTTTTATAATACAAATGATAAATACGGACGTTTGAGCAAGATTGTTGATAGACAGAAAATACTTACTTAATTTATACAGCCTAAAGTTTTTTCATTTCTACTATTGCAAATACTGAATAAAAATAGAACTTTTAAGCTAATTTACTTACTCTCTCGAATGTTGTCCCAGTTCCACTGATCACTCTTGAAGAAAGGATGATGCTTTATTTCTTCTACCCCATTTCTCCCAAGTCGCACATCCCTAAACATAGCAATTAAGCCAAATTCACATTAGCAAAAATAACACTTGTTTTTTGTTATTTAAATTCTGACTTGCTAATAAGCAGCAAAGAAACTTTCAGTAAAGACTGTCTGTGTTAACCACATTAATGATCAAATGAAAAAAAATTTTAAAACCACCAACCACCGATCTGTAGTTTCTTATATGAAATGTACTCTGTTTCTTAGCATGCACTCTCCCTGCAACTGCTAAAATGTCCAGAATTTGGAGTCTGCCACGTGGGGAGTAAAGCAAGAAAGAGAGTACTGAGGCAAAAACTAAGAAAAAACTAAAAACACAAACAAAAACCCAACGCCCTCGGGGGAAAAAAAACTGCAGAAGTCCCGTGTCTGCCAAACCACATGACAAACCTTAAGACGCAAGTGAAGGAAGGTCTAACTTACTGCACAGAACAGTTATTCAAAGCTGGACCGAAATAAATATTTTAAGAATTCCATCCTCTGCCCCATAACTAACCCTGACACATCTTTTGCTGATATTTGCAGTGAAGTAAATCTTAAGTGCAGTAAGAAACTTTTAGTTTGACCAGAAGAAGTCTCTCTAAAACTACAAGAACAGGACATAAAAACAACGCATGTAAAAGAACTAGTAAATCATAGGGTCGATGCTTATTCCTTCAAGTGCTTCAGCAGTGATCACGCATACGGAAAGAAGGCATCTGTTTCAAATAAATCATTCAAGCTCTGTATTAAATATAAACAGGAAGACGGACACACGTAGTGGAAGTACACCTCGCTGCATTTACCTTATTAAATTCTGTTCATATTTTCTCCCTACCCTTAAGCTACTACGGGTGAAAAAGGCTGTTAAGGCACATCCTTCCTGAGTAACCACGATCTTGCTCAACAAAACAAACAATTTTTTGAATTGTTTGCACTCTCTTTGAATGCAAAAACTAATCCTCCTAATCCCTCATTCTATAAAGGCTAGATGCTCTGCTGTAGCCAAGTTCAGGTGACCACAGAAAAGCATAAGAAGGCGTCATTGATACAGAGTTAACCATGGACCTACAGCGTTCTTCTTTTAAATCAGAAAAATTGAAGATGATCTCTGCTTTCTGGAACTAAAGAAGATGTAAGTGTTCAGGTCAAGAACAAGCTTACACAGCTTAATATCAATAAATGGCTCAGTTCCACAAAGGGAGACCTCTAAGATCTATTCATAGCCAAAACAATATCCTTGCTGGTTTGTTAGCAAATTAAAAAAAGTTCAAACATTCTAAGAAAGCTTAAACAACTCAGTAAATACATGTTTATTTTCATAAAAGTATTTGCCTTCATTTTTTTAAGTAACACCCGCTTAGACATTGAGCACAACAATTTGGTCCCTGCCTTGGGGCTTACAAATTACTTTCAACCTTAGAGGTTTGTTACTGTATTACACACTGCAATTGGAAGGATTTGTCTGGCACAAATTGCGTTGTTAACAAGAGCTGTCAGAACTGCTCATAGAAATAAAATACAATACCTGGAAAAAACACCCGAAAAGAAAAACTAGAGAGCAGGTGATTTTGCAGAAGAGATTTGAACAGAGATTAAAAGAAGTAATGGAAGGAATTAATTTTTGCAATGTACATGTGCTAATACCATCCAAAATAAAAATACCGGTACCAGAATAATATATGCACTTACCTATCAGTTAAAAAGGCACAGATAAGGTTCTTTGCATGCTTAGAGATTTCCACATCATCTGGGAAATGTAATGAGTTCTTATGGTCCATAATTTTACTGTATGTTCCTACTAGTGAGTCTGCATAAAAAGGAGTATCGCCTGAAAATAAAATAGTAAACTGACTGTGATTTTGAGTCATGTTCAAGTAATGTAAGTTGAAAAAGACAAAAGATATGAAGAAAAGTCCACAAGCAGTTTTACCTAAAGTAGTCTTTTATTTAAAAAAAAAAAAAAAATTGGAATGCAGGGTACAAAATAATGTATACTACTAAATATATTCCTTCCCCAAAATGTCTGTGTTACAGAACTAAACTGTTTTCCATCCTGCATATCACTACCAAAATTTTGCCTGGTGAATTACATCTTTTGTTCTACCTGAAGACTATCACTATGTTTTCTAATTTACGTAATGGCTGACACCCACATAAATGCCCATCTTTAAAAGCTACCATAATGGACCGAAACTCATTAAAGATTTGTTAACACACATTTGTTGGAGGGAATCCACCACAGAGCGTTTCAGAGGCACGCAGATCTACCCTGCCTACCCCCAGAGCTGCTTAAGGCAAGTCGGCTCTGAGCAGGAGCCTTCACAGTGTGTAACTGCACTGTTAAACCCATATTCATAAATCTTGTTGACTGATAAATTATTTTAGCTTGGGTGCCCATATTAACATGGGCAGGTGGCTTCTAAGATCATAGACCTTTCTCACCCAAAGGTTGCAGCATAGGCTTTAGTTGAGTCTAGTTTCTTTGCAAACGTCCTTAAGAAATGCAAAATTGGGACAACTGAGAAGAATCAGTATTGATGAAGTTATTTGTCATTCAAGTTAACTGACAACATTCTGAATATACAAACGGTTTGGGTCAGTAATCCAGAGGCTGCAACTTTTACATAAATCCTTTCTCACAACTAATCCATAGGTTTAATAGAGAAAGTGAACAATAAATAAATCGCGTGAGCTAGGCTCTTTCCTCCGTCCTGGTGTGCTGCATGCAGACAGGGATCACCCAGCAGGGCAGTCAGCATGCTGACTGCATGCTTCCAACAAGGTACTAAAAATTTCAAAAGCTGGGTACATGAAAAAAATGTACGAACAGACCAATGGACAAAAACCATTCGGCTTTCAAAAGGAATATAGAATCATAGAATC